GCTCAAAGAACCCGGTTTATAAGCATCGTTCACGACCAATATCACCCCCTTGCTCCAATGATCATAACATGCTGACCTCGTCATGCGGTTGACATGGAAACTATGAGTGTTACGAGCCCCTGAGCCACTTATAAATCCTGTGAAATTCTCAAATTTTCAATTTCTCTGCAACTGTATTGGCCTGATGAAGAGGTACCGAAACCACGTGTTTTCCAATTTTTTTTCAACTTTTTTAAATCTGACGCTGCCGGGGGCAGGGCAAGAGGGGATGTGTTCTTGGATGGACGGGAGTCATCATGTCTCACTCACACTGTGGTGACTAACGCACTATCTGACCACGTGAGCTTAACCAGTGGTATCAGGAGTGCATATCATCGTGTCTGCTTAGGGAGCTTGGTGTCAGGTGTATAATTTCACTACAAGTGTGCGACAGCGCACCATAGTACCACAGTTTAAAACACGGAATTCCCATTAATGGTTTAACAGATGTGCATGTTCCCGATACCGTCCGATTAGGATACAGTAGATGTGCTAACTCATGAAATGTCAATTAAAATTTCGAAATGCGTTCTCGTTTCAACAAGATAAATAAAGTAGTGTTGTAAAACTAATCGTGATGCAGCATAAATCTATAATTATCCAGTTACCTCTGGGTGTCAACTTTCGAATGAACTTATTTTCGGCTGCATGTAATATCCATACTCTGCAAAAAATGACTACTTAAGTAGCATGCAATTTTCTCATTGATTTTCGATGCCCTTGAATATGCAATTATATTTCATGGAAAACATGCATGAAAATATTCATTCCTTTACTTATTCGGTAGAACATCACGTCTTCTTTTAATTTAATACTCAAAAGAAGAGTATAATTCGGTTTTACAAAAGTTTCTAATTGTGAAATTTATTAATACCGTTAAATGGTCGTTCATGAACCGTCATGTATTTTCATCTACGAGGGTGGGCTGTTAAGTTAACAATATTGCTCAAATCCACTGCTTAATTTTATGAACCTGATATGGTCTCATCTTAAAATCGTAGAAAAATGCATGGTTTTTTGTACACGGAAAATAATCAGCTTGTAGTTTTGAAACCCTGAATGCAAGTGTAACGACAGGCCGGGTTCAAAATTATTCGGGAATTAGAAACGTTTTTTTAAAACCGAATTATACTCTTCTTTAGAGTATGCAGTTGAAAGAAGACGTGATTTTCTACCGAATAAGTAAAAGAATAAATATTTTTATGTATGTTTTCCATGAACTATAATTAAGTTTTCAAGGGCATCGAAAATCAATGAGAAAATTTCATGCTACATAAGTAGTCATTTTTGCGGAGTACAGAAAATAAGTTCTTTCGAAAGCCGACAGCCTGAGGTAACTAGATCATAATAGATTTGTGCTGCATCATGATTAATTTACAACACTATTTAATTTATCTTTTCGAAACGAGAAGGCATTTCGAAATGTTGGTTGACATTTCATGAGTTAGCACATCTACTGTTCGTGGTGGGACCGAATTCAAAAACTGTTGACTGACGCGTTAACGTACGACTTACAATGACTTTTGTCCTGTATTGTTGAGATTTATTCCGGTATAGAAAACATGCATTAAATAATTAACCTTTTTACAGGATTGGTAGGATCGCACGCCTTATTCAAACTTTATACTTACATAAGGGTATAATTCGGTTTCAAAGACCTTGAAATGCCCGTTCATAAAACATCGTGTGCCTACAGTAAATAAAGGTAACTCTAAAATTTCCAATACGATTCAACGCCACTGTCAAGTTGTATGAACTCCATATGGTCTCCTGTTATTACCGTATAGAAATGTACGATTTTCTATGCAGAAAATGCATCGTTTGTAGTCTGGAAACCCTGGATTCCAGTGTGACGGCAGGTGGAATTTAAAATATTCAGGAATCGAAAAGTTTCTAAAACCGAATTATATCCTTCCTTAAAGAATAACGGTTGAAGAAAACGTAATTTTCTGCCAAACGGATAATACAATGAGTATTCTAATACATGTTTTCTATGGATTATATTTGAATTCCTAATGGCGTCTAACATCAAGGAAAAAAGTTGCACTAATTAGGTAGTTAGAAGGCGATCGTTCAAAAGCCGCCATCCTGAACTTACTGAATTATCATAGGATAATGCGGCATGGTGACCGATATTACGGCCCTACATAGGTGATCTTTTCGAGTGGAAAACGCATCTCAGCACTTTGATTACTATTTCATGAGTTAGCGCATCTACTGTATGCCGGTATCCGTCTGAGGAAGACCCCGGTAGCTTATGCCTTTCGCATAGCGATACAAAACAACGACTATGTGAGCTGCAATGGGGTTATGGGACATGCACGTCCGATCACGCCCTAAGGCTCACTGCGTGTCCCTCGCAAGCAGTCACATAGAACGACTTGGCCTGTTAGCCGTCGTCAGCCAGACATACCGAACCCGGATTCAGCAGCTATTGAGCACCAAGTTCGCAGGGTATTCTTGTAGCTTTGTTTTAGACCACCACGACACGAGCATTCGTGTCACTATACAAGAGTCGCTTGGGAAGGCACCCCCGCAAGGTGCCCGTTCTAGCGCAGTTGTGGCTGTCTTAACATGGCGTGAATGCTGAGAACTCCAGTTCATTGCGGGACTTTCGTGTTCTGGATTCTATTTTGCCCCTTCACCACAAGTATCTTCCAAAGGCAGCTGGTGTGGAGGTGATTTAGCTGCCTGGCTTGGTTGACGCCGAAGGCCCAGTCCAGTCATGTAGCGTCGCCATGACTACAGCCTTGGGCGTGTTGGGTTTCGTGTTAAGGTGAATACCGCGACGATCGCAGACTGAGACCCGCCGCCGGCCGAAGGCCAGACTGGCAAACATAATACACACACACACACACACGACGACAGTTCGTCCGTCGATTTCGACGATGACCACCATGTGCCCCACAGACTGCATTGTGGGAGCAGGGACGGTGACTTGCGCAGGGGTTTATAGTGCCAGTAGACTTGCGCTGCATCTAACTACACTCTCTCTTCCTCCCCCGGCTGGGCCCGGTGTCAAGACAGAGTCAAGAAGACCGGAGACGAGGGAGGCCGCAGGTGGATGGCTCGGACGGATCCTCACCTTGGCGTTCCACCACACCCCCTGGTCTACACACAAATGACCAGGATTTTGACCACAAAACAATGGGGTGGTGACAGTGGTCCAGTTGTGCGACGAATGCCGACAACAGGGTCCGCCAGCGCACACCGGGAATGTTGGCATTGGTTATTGCGCACAGATAACGCCTGCCAGAGTCCGATGTGGCCCCCGTGTTGGTCCAGCGCATCTAACACGTGGCCCGTTTGGAGGGCTCACACACACACACACACACGACAGTTCGACCATCAATTTCGATTATGTCCACCGTGTGCCCCACAGCTGCAGCAGCGGTGGGAGCAAGGACAGTGACTTGCGCAGGGGTTTATAGTGCCAGTAGACTTGCGCTGCATCTACCTACTCTCTCTCTCCTCCCCCGTCTGAGCCCGGTGTCAAGACAGAGTCAAGAAGACCGGAGACGAGGGAGGCCGCAGGTGGATGGCTCGATAGCATCCTCACCTTGGCGTTCCACCACACCCCCTGGTACACACAACAATAACCAGGATTTCAACCAACACAACAGAGATTTGGAGGCTGGCAAGGCCGAAGCCGCACCTAGGCGTGCCCCCAACGCCTGGCTCGGATACCACACTGTGATGGGAGTGCCATAAAGGCCACATTAAAAAGGAGCCATTGCAGCCTGACTCTCAGACCGCCTCCAGTGCAGGAGGAGGTCCAAGGTACCCCGTTAGTTGGCAACCTTCCAAGCCACGGCTTTTAGCGCACCGTGATAGCTTCAAGCGCGTCAGATTGTTTATAGTGAGGAGAAAGTGCGCTGAGTCGTCGACCTCACTCTGCCTTCCCATCCTCACACCCCAGCCGCTGTCCGAGCCGGTCAGCAGACTGGAGTGGGGAATGGGCGCGGTGGCTGACATGGTCGACTGACCACCACTGCGCGTGCCACGAGCACGACCTGGCCCCCCATACACACAAACACCAGGATTTCACACAAGGTGGGTTGAACGGCGTGTTTCTCTCTTGCGCGAGAGGGCCGTGGAAGGTGCTGTTTCAGCCCGTCCCCAGCCCACCATTCCGCCACTCCACACAACACACACAAAACGTGACGAACTGCGTGGACCGAGTTGGGGCGTCAATCAGCAACCTTCCTATTCTCGGCGCCTGACGTGTCGGGATAGTCTCAGACGCAAAATCACCCGTGCAGCCGAAGCCGCATGGGGACCGAGTCGAGATGCACACTTCCCACTTTCGTGGAAGGTGGCAGTTGGGTGCTTGCGGTCGGTGGGTGTTGATTTCTGGTGGGGTGATGGTGGAAAGGTGGAGGAAGGTAGGGAGTGTGTGGATGTGTGGTGTAACCGGCGGTTGTCTACCGCAGGTCGTCGTGGATGCGCATGCTACCGAATAGGCCCATGCGATGCGTGAAGGTGCGAGGGCAGTGTGGGCAGTGGAGGCGGGTGTGGTGGGTGTAGGTTGGTGCTCCAGGCACTGGTTCTCCAGTCTCGCATGGGACCGACCAGGCCGATGCGTGAAGTAAAGGTGCGATCGCTGTGAGGGCAGGTGTAGTCCTGGTCCTCACCTCTGAAGACGGAAGTTGCAGGGGTTATGCTTTTTGTTGTGTCAGGTATGTCTGTGGTGATGTCGTGCGGGACAGACGCCGGAGCGGCCGTCGTTGCAGCAGTGGAGGAGGAAGAGGAGGAGGAGGAGGAGGAGGAGGAGGAGGATGGCAAGGGTGATTCAGAAGAATTCACAGAGTTAGTTGGCGGCAGAGAGGACGAGGAAGAGACGGGCGAGGGCACGGTGGTTGGTGCAGTTCGAGGGGCGCAGTTGATCCGCAGATGTCCAACAAGTCCGATTCGAGCCCGGAAAGTCCGTTAACATCGAGGACACGTTGGGAGCGGTTGTGCGTCGGCGTTGCGTACTGGGCGGAGTTGTGATTTTCGGACTTCGCGTTTCACTTTGGCAGCGGCGATGCGGTTGGCTTCGTAGATCGCAGCGCCTGTTTTCACTGTTCTCCTCCATGTCGGTCGGTCGAGTGCGAGCTCTTCCCAGTTGGTCGAGATGATTTGCAGACACTTCAGGGAGGACTTCAGAGTGTCCTTGTATCGACGAATTTGATGACCTTGGCGGCGAGAACCCGTCGCGACGTCTCCATAGAAGAGTCGTTTGGGTAGTCGCTCGTCGTCCATGCGCACCAGGTGGCCGCTCCAGCGCAGCTGCATTTGTCTCAGCATGGTGAAGCTGCTGAGGATTCCTGTCCTTTCCAGTACATCAGTGTCGGGGATTCGATCCTGCCATTTTAGCCTCAGGATGCGACGAAGGCAACTGAGGTGGAAGTGGTTCAGTCCACGTGCCTGCCTCGCGTACACCGTTTAAGTCTTCGCTCCGTACAGCAGCGTCGGCAGGATGACGGCCTTGTACATCTTCAGCTTCGTGCTCAGTTGAAGACCGTGCCGATTCCAAACTGTACTTTGGAGGCGACCGAAGGATTGACTGGCTTTCAAGATCCTGTTGGCGACTTCGTCATCGATCTTGATGTTGCGGGAGAGGGTGCTGTCCAGGTACGGGAAGTCCTCCACCACTTGCAGTTGGGTCCCATTCACGCTGCTTTTTGGCACGTTGGGGGATGTGGCGGTGTTGGGTGGCGGTTGATGCATCACCACCGTCTTCTGCGTGTTGATGAGCAGACCGAAGTTCGCGCAAGCGGCAGAGAAGAGGTCCATGTTCCGTTGCATCTCCTCTTCCGAGGTGGTGTTCAGGGCGCAGTCGTCGGCGAAGAGGAGTTCGTGAACAGTGGTTGTGGATACGCGCGATTGGAAGTGCATCCGTCGTTGATTCAGGAGGTGACCGTCCGTCCTGTAGGCGATTCGGATTCCAGGGCGTTCGTCACGGTAGGCGTCCATCAGCATGGCAGAGAACATAAGACTGAAGAGGCTAGGCGCCAGCACGCGTCCCTGCTTCACTCCGTTGGTCACTTTGAACGCCTCTGAGACAGCTCCGTTGTCCGTGACTCGCGCCATCATACCGTCGTGCAGCTGACGCACCATCTGGATGAATCGCTCCGGACAACCAAATTTCTGCATGATCTTCCACAGTCCTACACGATTCACGGTGTCAAAGGCTTTCGTCAGGTCCACGAAGGTAGAGTACAGGTGGTCCGCATCTCCTGGCACTTCTTTTGAAGCTGACGGGCGGCGAAGATCATGTCCGTGGTCCCGCGATGTCGGCGGAAGCCGCACTGGCTTTCCGGCAGAAGGCCCTGTTCGAGAGGGTTATTGAGGCGATTGAGGAGGATGCGAGCGAAGATCTTCCCGGCGATGTTCAGCAAGGAGATGCTACGGTGATTTTTGCAGACTTGGCGATTCCCTTTTCGCTCGTAGAGATGCACGATGGTGACATTGCGTGAATTCACCATCAGAAAAAGAAGCGACCGCTGGAACAAGGGTTTTATTCTACTGACGTTTCGGATTCTCACTTGAATCCATTATCAGAGGCAGTGGCAGAAAAGGGTGACTCGTGCACAGGAAGTTGCACTATTTATAGGATGCAGTCGGTATGCTACCGCATACCTATAGCAATTAGTCGCGCTCCCCTTCATCAAGGATTGTTGCCCGCTGGTGCGCTTATTGCTTGATGGCCTGCATGCAAGTTGTTAATTGCCGAAATGTCATCATCCGTGTTGTATGCTGGCTTGATAATTGCTCGGCCATCTGGCTTACCGGCTTGCGCACCCCCCGAGTGGTCAATTAATTTGGCCAGGCTATGCCTCAGCACGGAATATGGAGTTGGGATGTCGTTGCCCTTGTTGACAGACTGAGGTCCCGTGAACCATGCCTCAAGCAGCTCGCGGCTCACGCGATTATCCCCTCTCGCGAGAATTCCGGCCTTATCGAACTTGAATGTGTGGCTGAGTCTCATCGAATGGGCCGCGACCTGCGAGTTGGCGTCATTCCTCCGTACCGCTGCCGCGTGTTCGGCAAATCGCGTTCGAAGCAGTCTTCCAGTGTCTCCGACGTAGGTGCTCTGTCCGCAACTCCACCAGATCCGGTAAACGACTCCAGATGTTTCATGCCGTGGCAGTGGGTCTTTTGGCCTTATCATCTGACGCCTCATGGTGGCCTCCGGTCCGTGTGCAACTTCAACCCAAAGTGATGCAAGAAGGCGGCTAACGGCCTCGGAGACGTTCTCGCTGTACGGGATCGCTCGCCAGAATTTGGGGTCAGCACGGCTTTGTCGCTCGTCTCGTTTAAAAATAGTAGGATGGCAAAAATCTTCATCGGCGCGACATGAGTCGGCAATTGGGCAGACTTCCGCACTCCTGAACGGTGCCATTTTTTATGGGCGCGCATACCCGATAACGCCTACCAGTGCCCAATGCGGACAACGTGCTGACCAGCGCATCCCACACGTGGCCTGTTTTGGGGCACACACGCTCGACAGCTCAACCGTCGTGCCCGACAGTGTCCACCGTGTGCTTCACAGCAGGGTGTAACAGGCACGGTGACTTGAGCGGGATTTATTTATGATGATAGTAGACTTGTATAGCATCCACCACACTCTCTCCTCTCCCACGATGTCGAGACAGAGACAAGAAGACCGGAAGTGGGGAGTTCACAGGTGACTGGCACGGCCAGGCCCGCACCCAGGCGTACCACCACACCCCGTCGTCCACAACATACACTTGGCCAGGATTTTTCATCAACAAAAACACCCCAACCGGGGGTCAGAGCGACGAGGATGATGACTGGACAGCCATGCCCACCACCTGTAAACCCAGCGGGAGCGCAAACGCATTTACCAGCAGGGAACCAGGTGTTAAGGGACTGCCAGTACATACCAGGTTGTGAGGGTCATGGTTTGTTGATACTGACATAGCACACGCTTTCAAACCTTTTGACCCAGAAGGGCGACATGTGGCCCGGCATTTCGCCCGGGCCGTTATCCTTCAAGGCTACGTAACCAAACAGTCGTCGACTGAGAGACAAAACACACACACGCAAATGCATACTGCATCTTATAATTAGCGTAGCGATCCGACAACCGGAGAGTTCGCAGGAAACTCTTTTTAGCAGATGTATCCAGGATTTCGTAACTCGGCTGTCCTCAGGCTTGAAGGTGCGCCGTCTGGCGCACTCGGCGGACAGTCAAAAGGGCAGGTCTCTTACCCGCGCTATGCAAGTCACTTCAACGAATCCGAAAAAAGTCTGCTGTACTGCAATCCGTACTTTCCAAGTTTAAGGAGCTAATCAGNAATCGTACACGCACGCATGCATCAGCGTCTACGTATTCTCTCACATATTTTCTAAGTACCCACATAAAGAAAAACCATAAACATTCTCGGTTGCTGCGTTTTTCAGAACGTACAAAATTCAAACTACTAACGAGGACCTTCGCGGTTGAGGCATACAGTGCGTGACCGATCTCATGAAATGTTGACCAAAATTATGGAATGCGTTTCCGATTAGGCAGGATTATTTAAGTGGGGTTGTTATACCGATTATCATACAGCATAAGCCTATAACATTTCGGACTCGCCAGGAGGTCGACTTTTGAATGCACTTCTTTTTGACCTCCTAAAGAAATCACACTCGGCAAAAAATGACCTCTTATGTAGCATGCTTTTTTCCTATTGATTTTCGATAGTCTTTTAAATTCAAATATATTTTTAGAGAACATGCACAAAATATGCTTTCTTTTGCTTATTTGGTAGGAAGTCACCTCAACGAATTCGAAAAAAATATGTGGTGCAGCATTTCGTAATGTCCAAGTTTAAGGAGCTAGTCAGTGCTGTTTTGTGATTTCTCATCGGGAAACATACTTAAACCATAACTGTTCAGACTTGAGAATACATTTTCAAAAATTTACTTTTATTAAACTGAATTCTGAAAAATCGTAGAGCCAATCGAACTATCCGGTGTAATTAGTAAGTCAGACGAAACTGCGAGTATAAAATAGCGCACCGAGAAGAGATCTTGCTAAGCAAAGTAAAGCCAGACAAATTTTGCATCTAAAAATGCTAGTTTCCACGGTTCAGTTGGCTTTCTTGACTGATAAAAATAACAGACGCATAATCGTCAGTTGTTGGCTTTTTTTCTAAACCCGAACTGGAATCGATGGCGGCAACATTCACACCAACTGAGCCTATTACCAACCTCCCTGACCTTAAAAAAACTTTATGACCTTTTCGCCTGGCGGGTAATAAAGTGAAAAAAGTGATAAACCAATAGCAAAAAGGCTGCGTTCTCTGTGATCACAAGGACACACAGTAATTGAGAACTATTCGCCTCCATGGTCAACACGTTACTTACGTCATATCGGCTTTAGTGGCAAACACAGCGCTGACGCAGATTACTTGGCCAAGGTCGTTGTTAAAGTACGCACACGCAATGTCAATCAATTAACCTTACGGACTGAGCGCATTTCAAAAAAGGTCTCATCTTTTACGTCGGCAATTTCTACCACGACGTTTTACCTGTCGTCTATTTCATTAAAACAGGATTAACAAGTAGGTCGAACACAAAGGATTCAAATTAATATTACCGATAAGCACGTGAAATGGTGCAAACTAAATCCACCACAAACTTCCCAGGATGTTTATGAAATCAAAGACAGGAGGCCTATAATGTATGTCATACGGAGGCGCTCGTGTCAGGACAAATGGGTCGTTAATTACCATGGGTGAACATGGCTTAACAACTCACACAGATGAGCAGTAACACCTTGAATTCGTTTCGACCCCAAGTACTATATTGTCCAAGCTGTTTAGTCCCAGAGGATAGCTTGAAAAGCATGCCTTGGTCAGCGAAAATCTCGCCATCTGGGTAGCGTGTTGCGGTACCGAAATTTGGAGTTCGCAGGGACCCATTTCCGCCCGTACCATAGTGCTGGAGTTTGTACCATACGGCTTCGCTGACCTTGCGTCCCGTTCTTCTGCTCTATCCTGTCCGCACTTTCTTAGATCTTCTCAAATTGGCGACAGTCTGACCATCATGATCAAAAACATCAGCCTCGTGTCCCATGGAATGAGCATAGCACTGGTCGGTTACAAATGGGGTTAGGGTTTAGGATTAGGGATTAAAGTTGTGGTTGGGGTTAGGGGTTAACGCTACTATTTTTTAACCATTCAAAGTACAACCGCGGAATCCCAATAGTTTTTCTTTTGCATACAATTACTTGACCTCGTTTCCTATGCGTCACCGGCCCCAGCTGTGAAAAGCCCTATTACCACCGGTCCCGCATTAGAGGTGACTGGGTTTGTTTACTTCAGGTGGTGCTGCATAACCACATCCGACCCACTGTTCATCTGAACATGAATTTCTTTGAACTGAAAGGCAAGTATTCCAAGAGGTATAATTTAAAGATAGTAGGTTCTTTGGGAATAGTAAAAAATTTTATTAACAAATTTTCGACGTTGGTTCCCCACTCAATCATTAGACTCGAGTAAATTTACAAAAAAAGCAGTCAAAATTTCGAACGTGTGCAAAAAATCGATACTTCTTCAGCGATTCTGCCAACAAGCATAAGCTGCAGACTTGCGTAGGATCTATCTCCCATTCCTCCGACAGCCTCCTTGCTCAAATGACAAGAAAACGTTAAGGAGACCGGACATGAGCGTAGGTCCAACGGACGACGAAAATAAACAACCTGTTTACGCCTGCCACATACACTCCAGATGTCCCAAGCGGTTGGTATCGCATATGAATGAGAGTATCGAGGCGAGAGCATTGAGGAGCCAATCCCAGCCTGACTCTCAATTTTCAAAAAAGGTCTAAATTACTATGCCAGCTTGCAACCTTCCAAGTTATACCATTTATCCAGTCACACTTATTGCGATGAGGAATGCACTGAAATGCATGGTAATAGAGCCCTCAGAGTCGACCTCGCCCCCTACCCTGCACCAGTCCACTGTCTGAGCCTTTAAGCCATCTGGTGTTGTGATTGGGCGCAGTGGATAGCGCGGCGTGGACCCTGTGGCTGGACATACCCCCAAACCCTCTAAATGGCCGACATTTGTTGTGGGATAAATGGACCTAGCGCAGCCAGATTACTGCTTCTCGGAAGCCAGTCTGGCTTCTCTTCTGATCTAACACATCTACGGTGCAACCACAAGTCACAGACATCTGATTCTGACCGCGCCATCGCAATGTGCAAGATCCTTTGATCTGACTCGCATCATCTCTCTCTCTCTCTCTCTAGACACATTTTCCGCCGACCTATATAGCTGGGCGACCTTGAACTCGCCACGCATCTTTTATGTGCGGAAAACGATTCCTCCCCCTGTTTCGTTATCATCGTCTCACCCTGTGGGGAATTTGCTCGAAGGCAATAAACACAAGTGTCTGACCGTGGATTAAATTACTCAGACAGCTCCTGTACTCTACATTCGGAAGTTCATTTAAGCATGTACCCCAATCA